GTTCATTTTGATATGACCATCATATAAACTAAAATTTGTAGAACGTTAAATATATATTATTTATTGTATTTGTAAGTGGATTTTCATTTTATTATTCAAAGTATTTACCGGCTAATGATGCATTCATCATTAATATATATCGATAATACAGTTTCCGTCAACCATCGATAACAGGCCAAAAACAACCTAAATATTACCAACTGCACAACGGCCGAGCATGCTGCAATAGTTCCCGACACTCGTGTAATCTATTCGTTTGTGTATTAAAAGGCTAGGAAAGATCTGGTAAGTGTCTTGCAAGTGCAACCAAAATCAATAAATGAAGGCCAACAATGGTGAAATTTGTCATCAGAGTGTTGTATGCTTAGGTTATGTGTGAGTGCGGCACGAAACAATGCGAAGGTTGGCTCCCTTTCCATATGTAGTGGGCAATTGATGCGTGGGGTTGACTGAACTGCAGAATGTAACCGGCAGCAGCGGCTTTCAATTGCAGTGCATATGCAAATTAGTGCACGCTACATTCGCTGCTATTTTTATAGACAACGCATGCACTCACACTCACACATATATGTGTATATGTATGTGTGTGACGCAATAGTTGAGTGCCGAATTCGTGCCCCCTCTCGCCTGTTGCTTATCGCAACCATTGCGGTTGATGTGCCTGTAAAACTATAAAAATTGTCGCAATTTTCAGCCGTCTTTGTTGCATTCCAAAATGGTCGAGGAAAAGGAGAATACAGCCAGTGCGAACACCGCTGCTGGACAGGAGCCGGTCTCCAAGAAGGGAGCAAAGAAGCAAGCGAAAGCGGCCAAGGTAAGCTGCGCGTGGCGACGTGGCATAAGTCTGAGCTCATGCTTATATACGGCTGATAACATTGATTAGTGCCATTATTGCTCATTAATTCTTCTACTTTATCTCTCCACAGAAAGCTGAGCAGAAAGCCGGCACTGCCGCTGCCCTCGCCGCCGACGATGCGGCCGGCGACAATGCAGCTGATCATGCTTCAGGCCGCTACGGTCTCTCCGAGATGATACAGTCGAAAGATAAGCGCAGCGAGCGTGAGTTTGTGTCTGTGCCCGAGCTCAGTTCGCATGTGGGCAAGGGTCTGGTCTGGGTACGTGGCCGCGTACATACGTCGCGCTCGAAGGGCAAACAGTGCTTCCTCATTCTGCGCCAGCAGAGCAGCACGGTTCAATGTATTCTGGCTGTGGGCGACATCATCTCCAAGCAAATGGTCAAATTTGCCGGAAAGTAAGCTAAACGATTATGCGATTGAGTTGTATGCATTTGATTGATTGATGTATTGATTGATTGCAGCATACCGAAGGAGAGCATTATCGATATCCAAGCGAAGCCGGTGTCTGTGCCCACCAGAATTGAGTCCTGCACGGAACAGTTGTTGGAGCTGTGCGTGGAGCAGATTTTCGTCATTTCGCAGGCAAAGGCACAGTTGCCACTGCAAATTGAGGACGCATCTCGACCTGAAAACGCAGACGAGGCCGACGGACTTAACATACGCGTCAACCAGGACACCAGACTAGATAACCGCGTACTCGACTTAAGAACGCCAGCAAATCAGGCCATTTTTCGCCTGGAGGCTGGCGTATGTCGTTTGTTCCGCGATATTTTGACCGAGAAGGGATTCACCGAAATCCACACGCCCAAGATCATTTCCGCTGCCAGCGAAGGTGGCGCTAATGTCTTCACCGTGAGTTACTTCAAGGGTAAGTTTTCTGAGGAAATATTAATAAGCTTTGCCGATGGTATTAAATTTTTGGCTTTTCCAGATTCTGCATACCTGGCGCAGTCTCCGCAGCTGTACAAGCAAATGGCAATCGCTGCCGATTTTGACAAGGTGTACACTGTTGGCGCAGTGTTCCGCGCAGAGGACTCAAACACGCACAGGCACTTGACCGAGTTCGTTGGACTCGATTTGGAAATGGCATTTAAATACCACTACCACGAAGTGTTGCATACGATTGGCAACACGTTTACAGCCATCTTTAAGGGACTGCGCGACAAGTACAGCCGAGAGATCGAAGCCGTTGGCCAGCAGTACAAGGTGGAGCCATTCAAGTTCCTGGAGCCGCCGCTTATACTCGAGTTTGCGGAGGGCGTGGCTATGCTGCGCGAAGCTGGCATCGAGACGGGGGACGAGGAGGATTTGTCAACGCCAAATGAGAAGTTGTTGGGTCGCCTGGTGAAAGCCAAATACGACACTGACTTCTACATCCTCGACAAGTTTCCGCTGTCGATACGTCCGTTCTACACGATGCCCGATCCCAACAACCCGATCTATTCCAACTCGTACGACATGTTCATGCGCGGTGAAGAGATCCTGTCGGGCGCGCAACGTATACACGATCCCGAGTACTTAATTGAGCGTGCGAAACACCACGGCATTGGTAGGTGTTACTACTATTGCACTCAGGCAGCATAAAGCTTATTCTTTGCATTCACATTCTTGCAGATACCACGAAAATTGCTGCTTACATTGAATCCTTCCGTTATGGATGTCCACCGCACGCTGGCGGCGGCATTGGCATGGAGCGTGTCGTTATGTTGTATCTTGGCTTGGATAACATTAGAAAGACGTCAATGTTCCCACGTGATCCCAAACGATTAACGCCTTAAACGTGATCGATTCAAAAGGAAAAACTTCTATTTTATTGAATTAAATTCGCTACAATTTCTTAATTAATTTTCCCTCTAACTTTCCAATCTGTGAGCCTTCGCCAACTCTCAACATTTTTTTATTTTAGTAGACGCCTGCTACTCCCTAAGTCTATATCCTCTTTTAAGGACTTGCATACTGCAAAGTTGTCTGACAACAAAATTTGTAAAGACTGCTTAGGTCAAAGTGTTTAAAACCATACGAAATAAATCTTTGCAAGTGTGTTTGGTAATGTCTCTGTCCATTGTTTCTATAGGCAAATGCAACTTCTGTTACGAGAAAAAGAGAACGATTTCAACAGCGGTTAATATTTGTCCTTATTATAGAAGACACTGCGTTTTCGGCATGAGTAATCCAATTAATAGAAGCTATCAAAGTGAAACCCACTTAATTAATTGTTACGGGTACCTCAGTCAATATATCCAAGAAATTGAATCCATTTAATAAATTGCTAAGAAAATTAGATTATCTGTATCTTTGAAGAGATACCTTTAGTTTCTTGCAAATTGTTAAATGTATAGACGGAGACAACTCCGACTCTGGATCAGTACCAACAGCCGAGCTGATATGACCATGTCGTCTGTCTGCTTCCAAGTAAACAAGTCTCTCAGCCTTTAATCTTTCGACATGTCTTGCTTTTCCTTATAGGCAATACATATAGTGTTTCAGATCTAGTCAGATCGGACCACTATTCTTATAGCTCCAAGGGATCGATCGTTTAAGGCTTAGTTTTATGGAAAAAAAGCAGTTGCTGCGACATTCAATATAATATCGCTCTATATGTCGAGTAATCCCAACGCACCATGCCTGTGCACTGATAATTTCACCCAGCTCGGGGTGGCCCCTGACAGGCAGCCCACGTTTAAGGTACTGATTAACCTAGTCTGTTTAGCAAGGACCGGGTCCTAAGCGCCAGGGAGTGGGCTCATTAGAGCAACGTTATTTTTAAAAAGTTCCATGGTTCTTTACTCAAAGCATATTACCAAGAATGGCCGATGAAAGAAAACTTTCAAGTTGACTTAAAGACAATATCAAATGGCTAAACATTAATTAGTATTATATTTTCGGAATTTTAAAAAGTATGAACACAAAAGCCATTTCAAAATCTGTCAACAAACTGTCGAGGAAACGAAATTGGATACGCGATGTCAAAAGGTGAATTGGAGTTGGAGTACAGGTATCTGCTGATCGGATCAACTCGACTACAGCTCTTCTAAGTGGCAAACAATTGGATAACGATGCAGTTTTATGCTTAAAACAAGAGCTGTGCTGCTATTTAAGATTTGTTAAGAATTAAAAAAAATAGCATATGTTTGTCGAAAAGTTCTAAGCTTGTTTGTTGTTTGTTGGCCATGGATACATTGTAATTAATAAAACAATACACAAATTATATTAATTATTGTCTGCATTGTTTATATATGTTCAGTTTGAGCAGTTATATAATAAATAGATATATATAGAAATTGAAAATTGCTGATGGATTTGAGAAAGCGACCTGCTGCTTGTTATACACTCAGGCTCAGAATATCACTAGTTCATGGTATTTACTACTCAGCCGGTATTTTTCAGACTCATTAGAAACAGATTTTCCGTCCTTTGAAAATTCGAATCGTCCTCTACTAAATTGAGCAAAAAATAATAACTAATGCCTGTGTTCGCAGGGAATCCCCTTTTTTCACTAATAATAATTACAGGGCTGTTTAAATTATCTAAATAAGGTTGATAAAAGAAGAAATAGAATAAAAGAATAAATAACTTGACAATATACTTGATATAAATATATTTTCTTGACAAAATAAATATATTTCACATAAAAATAAAGTTTAGTTCAATATATTTTTATGTATTATCCAAAAAAGAACTCACTAACTCTTTTAAACAAATTAAAATTCGAATTTTTGCTGTAATGGCTTGTAATGGGAATTGAAGTTGTTTTTCATTAAGTGTGTAAATTCGTTGGGTTGAAATTGGGTTGAAAGAGTTGGCTCAAACGAAGCTCATCGAGAATCTTTTTATATCAATTTAATATTGGTGCTTGTAAATATAACGAGCAATTATTATGTTGATTGATTTAATTGAAAATCTTACTTAGTGCTTAAAACAATTTATTCTTCTGTCACTGTCAGCCACTGATTAAGAGTTCATTATGAAGCCGTCAGGATAATGCAACATCGATGAGCATGAGATGAAAATTCACTGAGAACCGTTGACATGCCTATTGAACTTATCGGACAAGTGTTCGCTGTGCACACCTTGTCAACGAGGAAAACACAATAAATTTGATTCAGACTCAATCAGATTATTATCAGTACGCAAGTACGTATACGTCACGTTGTGTCCAACTGGAACACTGTTGACACAGTTGGCAAATACTTTTCGGTCAAACAAAAGAACGAATACAAATTCCTTTCAATCTGTGTGCGTGTACGTGTTGCACAGCAACTGTGCGTGGCTTCTGATATCGGGAAACGAACTTTAAAATCAGACAACAGAGCGACAGACGCAGCAGAGAGCCGACCATAACAGAACAGAACAGTGGAAAAGAGAGGAGAACAGGGCAGGAGCAAATATTTGCTGCTGCACGAGTACGAGTCCGTCTACTTCAAGACACAATTGAGACGCACTCCATTTTATTTTCACACCGCGGCATCGTTTGTTCAGACACCGTGCACCAATACTAACAGCAACAACTAAAACAACAACAACAGCTACAACAACAGCAACAACAACAACCAATGCACGTAAATGGCACAGGCGCGAGCACACACACACACATTGACAAAGTGGGCGGTGCTGAGTGCTGGCGCACAGCACACAGCAGTTGTCTCGCTCTAGCCCATTGAATCGACGGCAGCGCAAAGAGAGACAGCAATTGGTTGAAATGCCATTTTGTTTGAGCTTCTGCTGCGCCGCTGCTGCTGTCGCGAGTGCATCCATCGAACGAACGCCAGCAGCAGGCAGCCAGTTTGTTTTCTCCCTTCCAATCGAGCGGCAGCGGCGGTTCCGCATCGCCTTACGCTCGCGTACTTCTACGCGCCCTCTCAGACCCAGTCAATGTGAGCGATCGCAGCAAATGCAGTTCAATTTGAGTGCAATTAAAAGATTTATTCGCCGTCGCCGTCGTCGATGCGCTTCCACCTTCACTTTAAGCTCAACTGATGCTGCATGCATAACGTAAACTAATGTGAATGTGAGCATCGGTCGTCTCCGTCTCCGTCATCGTCTCAATTGCGGTTTCCGTCGCCGTCGCCGTCACCGACGCCGTCGCCGTCGCCTTTGCCGCGCTGCCAACTCGCAAGAATTTATGGAATTTGGCATTTGTGGATTTAGCGAAAATATTTTCATTGAGTGCGCGAGCAAATGTTTTTGTGTACGCTTCGTTTTCAGATCTCGCCCGCGTACCCCGTTAATATTCCCGCAACCCGCGCACTCATAAAAGCCGCGTTAAAATCTTAAAAATTCACGTGTAAATTCCGGTGCTTATAAATTTAATTACTATTTAAATTAACTGCTAGCAATACGCAAAACGCAAGTTTTTACGACGGCATTAATCCGTCACTCTCTGTGGAAATTTACCCATGCCCATAAGTGAATCACAAAGCCAAGTGTTTTCTTATACAGTACCCATACAAATGAAAGTCTATATGCTTATGGATAAAGTGCATAAATCAGATAAAACTCACACCAATTCAGAGCGCAGAACATTGGATTATAAAATTTCACTTTGCGACGCGTAAGTATATACAATATATATGAAGCTTAGTGAAAAAGGGGTCTCAATCACCATATAATAAAGATGGCAAACAAATCATCTATATGTACTTTAGAAATCTTAGAATTACTTATTTTACTGCTTTTGCTTATTTACCTACTGACATATTTCCCAGATAGTAATTCCCCGTGTAACCCGCAAACGGCCAATAGCTTTCACCTTTAAAGTCATGTAACTAAAAGTTTCCCTTCTAAAAGTAGTTTGGGTAATTAATTGACCAATAAGAAAATGGCTAACATTTGATTTTCGTAAGTCCCTATCAGCATTAGACTTGTTTCCAGTTGCGAAAGTTTAGTTTGGACTAATCAAAGGTTCAAATTGCGTATAAAGGGAGATATAGAATTTAAGATAACCCAGGGCGGGAAAGAGGTGAAAACTGAAAAAGAAAATGAAAAACAAAGCAATTATTCTTATCGAGCACAATGTGCTACAATTCCTAATATTTTATACTCATGCAAAATGGCATTTCGCGGAATTTTTTTATGGAGTTCAATTCTAATAATAGTTGTCTTTTATAATTAATAGTCGATTGCATTTTCTGTCTATTGTATTAAATTATGTTGCAATTGCCAACGTGCTTTTCGAAAATCCATAAGAGCGCTCGTTGGACTCTGCTGAATCAATCAATATATATTTATGGGAACTATAGGTTTTTACTTACAAATATCGAAATGCGCATAACGAAAGAATTAAAGTTTAAGTATAAAATTTGTTTTGTTTGCCAAATCATTAAATAATAAATAAAGGACTCAAGAAAATCAGTTCTAGAATTCAACCTAAAGAAATTCGGCTATTAATTGTGCTCATTTATTTTTTATTTGCGATTCATAAACTACTTTTGCACAAGTAAAAATGATAAATAACGAGGCGTAAACAATTTTATATCACATTGAGAAAGCCAAAGATTATTATCATTTATGTCAAATGCCAAAAGAAGAAATATGAGTTATCTTGGGGCTGTCGAAGAATAAATATATAAATATACACTATAATAAACGTTGGGCATATATGTATATATATATATAGGTGTATATGCAGATCCGTTATAGATTGAAGATTCTGCTGCTGGAGGGCTTTGATGCACCATTAAGATAGCTAATTATGTGTAGGAACTCGTATTTTGACGCAAGCAACAATTTTAATGCCTTTCATTGCCTTGTCTTTTCCACAGCTTGCAATTTTTCAACGGAAACTCGGACAAGGGAACGGCCCCATAATGGATGCCCGGGCAAGCAACAACAATGATAACAATAGCAACTACCAACAACAACAACAACTAACAGCAGTCAACAATGTGGAAATGATAATTGCAATCGCCTGCGCATAGAAGCAAAGCAAAGCGTCTGAAGAAAGTTAAAGCTAAAAAAATAGCAAGGAAAATTCATAGAAAGCAGCAAAGAAAAAAAGGCTAAGGAAAAACAACACACAGCAACTTAAACAACATCGAAAAGAAAAAAAACAAAATCAAACAAAAACATAAAGACGAAAAGTAATTAAAGCGCTTGATACAAACGCGATGGTGTTTTACAATATGTAAATATAATTAGCCGAGCGGAGTTTTCATTCCTGGAATTCGCCATTGCCAACGAAGTCAGCGGCAAATATACAAACACAAATACCCGACCACAAACACGCTACTGCAACTTCAGTCTGAGCCGGTTTTATAATTACTCCACTTTACTCCACTGGCCGGCACTTGAGTTGAGCTACCTTTTTTTTCACATATATATAAATATATATATATATATCATTTTTGTCGGCCCAGACCGAGGCCCAGGCCGGGGGGCTGAGGCCTAGGTGCAGGCGCAGGCGCGGCCATTGCTGCGATTCCAAAAACAGAGAACCGAGAACTGAAAACGGCAATTGGAATAGCAATTGGCTGTCGAACACTGAAAATTTGTGGAAAAGCTCACGGAAAACTGTGATTACTGTGATTACTGTGTGTGCGCGCGCGTGTGTGTGTGTGTGCGTGTAATACAAGCTCGTTTTAATACATCGAAGTGAACAAATTTCAATCGACAGATCGGGATTTGAGTGCGCCTGCAACTGCAACTGCGACGATGGCAGTGTCCTGCCCAGAAGTTATGTACGGTGCCTATTATCCATATCTGTATGGGCGCGCAGGACCTAGTCGTTCATTTTATCAATATGAGAGGGTAAGTTTTCACCACGCCTACATCTACGATCCTGGATTTAAGTAACAAAAACTGTGACTATTTTTGAAGGAATAGAAAAAAAAGAAATTCTCTGAATCTAGTTATAAGATCATTTTTCTAACAATATTATTGAATTTTCCCTGAAAATATTCTTAAATTAGTATCAATTTTCACTTTGTGTCATTTAGGAAAACAATATTTTGGTCATTTTTCGTCAACATTTTCTTTTAAGCTTATATTAATATTAATTCATAAAGATCGGTAAAAAAAAAAAACAAAGTTATATGCAACTGCGCAATTGAATAGAGCAGCATCTTTAAGAATTTCTGTGTACATGCTTCGCATTTTAACAGCATGGTTATTGCGACGCTTTTCTGTAATGCTGTTTAAGTTCCTTTTTTTATCATCATAAGTGCTTAATTCAAAATTTTGACCCAAATCGACAAAATGGCAATTACATCACTTTTTTTTCAAAATCGAGGTCGGTGCGAAAATCGAAACTTTATCGATGATTTTTTTAATATCTCGGGAAATAGCTCCGCGCGGAGATATGACGTTCAAAAAACGACATAACTCCGCGCGGAGATATAACGTTCCAAAACGACATAACTCCGCTTGGAGATATGACGTTCCAAAACGACATAACTTCCCGCGGAGATATGACGTTCCAAAACGACATAACTCCGTGCGGAGATATGACGTTCAAAAAACGACATAACTCCGCGCGGAGATATGACGTTCCAAAACGACATAACTCCCCGCGGAGAAATGACGTTCCAAAACGACATAACTCCACGCGGACATATGACGTTCCAAAACGACATAACTTCCCGCGGAGATATGACGTTCCAAAACGACATAACTCCGCTTGGAGATATAACGTTCCAAAACGACATAACTCCGCGCGGACATATAACGTACCAAAACGACATAACTCCACGCGGAGATATGACGTTCCAAAACGACATAGCTTCCCGCGGAGATATGACGTTCCAAAACGACATAACTCCGCTTGGAGATATGACGTTCCAAAACGACATAACTCGGCTTGGAGATATGACGTTCCAAAACGACATAACTCCGCGCGGAGATATGACGTTCCAAAACGACATAACTCCGCTTGGAGATATGACGTTCCAAAACGACATAACTCCGCGCGGAGATATGACGTTCCAAAACGACATAACTCCGCGCGGAGATATGACGTTCCAAAACGACATAGCTTCCCGCGGAGATATGACGTTTCAAAACGACTTAACTCCGCGCGGAGATACGACGTTCCAAAACGACATAACTACACGCGGACATATGACGTTCCAAAACGACATAACTTACCGCGGAGATATGACGTTCCAAAACGACATAACTCCGCTTGGAGATATGACGTTCCAAAACGACATAACTTCCCGCGGAGATATGACGTTCCAAAACGACATAACTCCGCTTGGAGATATGACGTTCCAAAACGACATAACTCCGCGCGGAGATATGACGTTCCAAAACGACATAACTCCGCGCGGAGTTATAACGTACCAAAACGACATAACTCCACGCGGAGATATGACGTTCCAAAACGACATAACTTCCCGCGGAGATATGACGTTCCAAAACGACATAACTCCGTGCGGACATATGACGTTCCAAAACGACATAACTTCCCGCGGAGATATGACGTTCCAAAACGACATAACTCCACGCGGACATATGACGTTCCAAAACGACATAACTCCGTGCGGAGATATGACGTTCAAAAAACGACATAACTGCGCGCGGAGATATGACGTTCCAAAACGACATAACTCCGCGCGGAGATATGACGTTCCAAAACGACATAACTTCCCGCGGAGATATGACGTTCCAAAACGACATAACTCCACGCGGACATATGACGTTCCGTGCGGACATATGACGTTCCAAAACGACATAACTCCGCGCGGACATATGACGTTCCAAAACGACATAACTCCGCGCGGAGATATGACGTTCCAAAACGACATAACTCCGCGCGGAGATATGACGTTCCAAAACGACATAACTTCCCGCGGAGATATGACGTTCCAAAACGACATAACTTCCCGCGGAGATATGACGTTCCAAAACGACATAACTCCGTGCGGAGATATGACGTTCCAAAACGACAGAGCCCCGCACGGAGGGGGTTACATCAGGTTTTTTTTCAAAATCGAGGTCGGTGCGAAAATCGAAACTTTATCGATGATTTTTTTAATATCTCGGGAAATAGCTCCGCGCGGAGATATGACGTTCAAAAAACGACATAACTCCGCGCGGAGATATGACGTTCCAAAACGACATAACTCCGCTTGGAGATATGACGTTCCAAAACGACATAACTCCGCTTGGAGATATGACGTTGCAAAACGACATAACTTCCCGCGGAGATATGACGTTCCAAAACGACATAACTTCCCGCGGAGATATGACGTTCCAAAACGACATAACTCCGCTTGGAGATATGACGTTCCAAAACGACATAACTCCGTGCGGAGATATGACGTTCCAAAACGACATAACTTCCCGCGGAGATATGACGTTCCAAAACGACATAACTTCCCGCGGAGATATGACGTTCCAAAACGACATAACTCCGCTTGGAGATATGACGTTCCAAAACGACATAACTCCACGCGGACATATGACGTTCCGTGCTGACATATGACGTTCCAAAACGACATAACTCCGCGCGGAGATATGACGTTCCAAAACGACATAACTCCGCGCGGAGATATGACGTTCCAAAACGACATAACTTCCCGCGGAGATATGACGTTCCAAAACGACATAACTTCCCGCGGAGATATGACGTTCCAAAACGACATAACTTCCCGCGGAGATATGACGTTCCAAAACGACATAACTTCCCGCGGAGATATGACGTTCCAAAACGACAGAGCCCCGCACGGAGGGGGTTACATCAGGTTTTTTTTCAAAATCGAGGTCGGTGCGAAAATCGAAACTTTATCGATGATTTTTTTTAATATCTCGGGAAATAACTCCGAGCGGAGATATGACGTTCCAAAACGACAGAACTCCGCGCGGAGGGGGTTACATCTCGCTTGTATATTGTATTTGTGCAGAATCCAAATGCGTGTAACAGGCAGAAGGAAGCATCTCCGACCCCATAAAGTGTATCGATACAAATCGATATCGATATCCTGTTTTTTGGGCACTTTTGGTAAATAATATATGTTGCTTCTAAAATAGAATATATATATGCATTTGATGTTGGAAGAAGAGGGAGTCGGGAGCTCCCGACTAGAACCTCTTACTTGTTTTTGTTTTAGATACATCATAATATCTTAGATATAACAAGAAAGAATATCTAACTGTGCTTTCTAGGAAAGATCACTTTGCCAGCGATTGTTTTCCTGGAAGATATAGTAGGATAATATGATTTATTCCGTGAGCTAGTAATTACTTGATAGAAAACAAGGGTATAAAAATAATCTAGTTATATATAAACTTACGCCGACTTAAGTACATACGGTTTGCTTTCAATATAAAAGATCGGGATCGAAGATATGTATGTTTTATCTGCCGCGTGAGAGCCTATTCCCATAGAAATAGACAGATTGAAAAGGACATCTATCTAAAACGATTCAAATGGTTGTCCGCATGAAGAATATTATTCATATGATGGTATTAGAAATGTCTATTTCAATATAATAAGAATAAGAATTCAATAGTTTATTGCAAGACATATCTTTACGTGCTTTAAAGCCCTCTGACGTTCCAAAACGACATAACTTCCCGCGGAGATATGACGTTCCAAAACGACATAACTTCCCGCGGAGATATGACGTTCCAAAACGACATAACTTCCCGCGGAGATATGACGTTCCAAAACGACAGAGCCCCGCACGGAGGGGGTTACATCAGGTTTTTTTTCAAAATCGAGGTCGGTGCGAAAATCGAAACTTTATCGATGATTTTTTTTAATATCTCGGGAAATAACTCCGAGCGGAGATATGACGTTCCAAAACGACAGAACTCCGCGCGGAGGGGGTTACATCTCGCTTGTATATTGTATTTGTGCAGAATCCAAATGCGTGTAACAGGCAGAAGGAAGCATCTCCGACCCCATAAAGTGTATCGATACAAATCGATATCGATATCCTGTTTTTTGGGCACTTTTGGTAAATAATATATGTTGCTTCTAAAATAGAATATATATATGCATTTGATGTTGGAAGAAGAGGGAGTCGGGAGCTCCCGACTAGAACCTCTTACTTGTTTTTGTTTTAGATACATCATAATATCTTAGATATAACAAGAAAGAATATCTAACTGTGCTTTCTAGGAAAGATCACTTTGCCAGCGATTGTTTTCCTGGAAGATATAGTAGGATAATATGATTTATTCCGTGAGCTAGTAATTACTTGATAGAAAACAAGGGTATAAAAATAATCTAGTTATATATAAACTTACGCCGACTTAAGTACATACGGTTTGCTTTCAATATAAAAGATCGGGATCGAAGATATGTATGTTTTATCTGCCGCGTGAGAGCCTATTCCCATAGAAATAGACAGATTGAAAAGGACATCTATCTAAAACGATTCAAATGGTTGTCCGCATGAAGAATATTATTCATATGATGGTATTAGAAATGTCTATTTCAATATAATAAGAATAAGAATTCAATAGTTTATTGCAAGACATATCTTTACGTGCTTTAAAGCCCTCTAAACATTTCTTAGGTTGGGTAATATACATATCCTGTGCCAATTGATTCAACATTATTATTTTAGTTCATATTTTAACCAAGTAAAAAAATTTTGCTAGCATCCTGATAAAAGGTTAAAAATACTATCCAAAGAAAATAATTGTCTTTAGATTGTGACTTTTAGTTAATTATAGTTAGTTAAATGTGCATAAACATAATAATTATAAGCACGCACAATTCGAATGGCAATTTGTTCGCCTTGGGCCAGGGCATAATTAAATCTGGGAAACAAATCATAAGAATTCACGCAAAACGCAAATCGTTTTCCAATGTGGACGCAGTCTTCAAGATTCAAGGAATTCCGCCAGCAAATGTCGCTTTGTTTGCGTTTTTTGCTAACATTGATTTCGAAGATATCTGTGATTTTTTGTGACAAGTACAGAAAAGTTCTCACGATGCCAAAAGCGCTTCACAGTTGCCCAAAAGGGACGCTGACTGGGCCTGGGCCTTAGACTGAGACTGAGGCTGAGGTTGAGGCTGGGGCCTGGGTCCGTCTCCGTCTACATTTCGGTGTTTGGAGCTTGTCGCTGTGGCACAAAGAAATTCTTGTGTCGCAAGTTCCAATTATACAAGGCCGCGGCACCAAATCGAAATTGGCCTTTTATGTAAGTAACCGATACGACACGATTCTGATTCTATGCTTTTGCATGACCATAAAGAGGCCCAGATAAACCCAGGATCGCCGCACGACGCTCCACCGAGCCGCCAGCCATACGCACGTCCCGGCTTACGGTTAGGGTTAGGGTTCGGTGTTGGACTCGGCTCGGCCGGCCAATCGCAGATTGAGTCAGCAGCCAGCCTGGTGACCGGTGACCGGTGACCGGTTTATTTGCCCATGGTCTGTGGCTCTGGCCAAGTTGCGCACAGTTTTGTCGTCCCGTCGACACTTTGCTTTTTTGGCGGGCCCCTGCGTAAAGGCTTGTGTGCCTATGCCCGTTCCCTTTCTCTTAATTTATTGTGTGTATCGCCATTAGTTCTTGCCGAGCACATCAAAACGGCGAGCGAGCCCGAGCTGCGATCAGATAACCCCGTCGCAGCCCGTCGCAGCAAAACCTGCAGAAGAACAGAAGAGAACAAAGTTTGGACTGGGAGATGTCGCAGGTTCGTCTGCCCTGGCCAGGTGATTTATGCCGTGTGAGCTTCGAGCTGACCGCTCAGCATAATCGAAATATCGCTGCAGCTAATAACAGCGACAACGACTGCAGCTGCAATCGCGGCCCTTGCAGATACTTTTGTATCTGCGCATTGTTCGCACGTCGGCTACTGCACTTGGCACTTGGCTGGGCCAATTTGGCTGGAGCTGGGCAGCGATCGTGTCGCCCGATAAGCGGCAGCGGCAACATATTGATTATGTGCTTAAATCGATTGACGGCCAAAGATACAGATGCAGATACAGCTACAGATACAGCTACAGATACATTTGATGTTGTCATAGACGGCGTATCCTGCGCCTGCCATGACTTGGCACTATGCTCTTATCTAATTAGGTCGTCTAGCACTTGGGGGAACAAATTAAGACTTTGTAAACAAGCCGCAACTGAAAGTGAGATGCCGAAGCGTCTGTGCCAGCTGCTGCTGCTGCTGCTGCTGTGGAATGTATCTACGAGATACTCGCCACACATACCCACACCCACGCCCACGCCAGGCGGCGCATTGTTGCTGCACATAAATCATGGCCGGGCCACGAGCTGTCGATGCCCGCTGCACTTTTCAAATGGATCGTGCTGGTTAACCCATTATTAACCCCTGGCAGCCTCATAATTGGCGTGCGCCTTCGCGTGGGCGGGGGCGGGAGCGGGGGCCAAGGGGACCCGGGTTGGTGCGGGGCTGGTTTAAATTTAGAAGCGCCTGCTCGCAAATGTGCCGAAACGACATCGGGTTATCGGCCACTTATAGAACGCTTGCGCTAATGGGCTCATTAAAGAGCAAGACGCGCATTCGGAGAAGGTGCATCGCTGGAGCAGCAGTCGGAAGGGGAAAGGGGAGCGGGTAGGGGTTGGGGTAGAAGGTGTTGCGCTGCGCTCGTAAATTGTCTCGAGCGCCGCATTATGTGTGACACGTCGCCAAGCCGGGGAGATTGCGGCGTGATTATCGCCCTGTGAACGAACGGCTTTGGGCTGTGACCTCCTCCCCAATGGGTTAGCTGCCCCTGCCCCATTTTCGGTGGCAACTGCGTGACAATATGCGAACGCTCGTAAATTTAATGGCCACGCTGCATTTCCCATCAACATAAATTCTCGTATTGTGTCATTTTCAATTTGCACCAACGCGCCCATAACTCATCTTCCCCAACCGCCGACACTGGCGCATGCACTCGCAACTAATGCAATCTGTTCTGTGTCTGTCTTGCAGTTCAACCAGGATCTGTATTCGTCCTCGGGCGTGCAACTGGCCGCCTCCTCGAGCGCCTCGGGCAGCTCTCATTCGCCCTGCAGCCCCATCCTGCCGCCCTCGGTGAGCGCCAATGCAGCCGCAGCGGCTGTTGCCGCCGCCCATAACTCAGCGGCCGCAGCCGTTGCGGCGGTGGCCAATCAGGCCTCCTCCTCCGGCCTGCAGCTCGGCCCAGTGGGCGGCGGCGTTGGCGGCGGTCCTGCCAGCGGATTACTTGGCTCCAATCTGCCCATTGGCAGCAGCGCCGCCAGCGCCGGCCTGGGCATGAGTCCCGTGCTAAGCGGCGCCGGACCCGGCCACGGCATCCACAGCCGGACACACCAAACCAAAGAAGAAGATCTCATCGTGCCGCGCAGCGAAGCTGAAGGTAAGTGAGAAAAGTTAAATATTTTGAAAAGCTAGAGCACGATTCCCACGAGGACTGACAGCAGAAAAGGTGTCTTAAGGAATTGGTTATTTTTTTTAATATTCAGTAGGAGAAAAACTATTAGCAGGAGGTAGACACATCACTAGCAGGAGCAATAAAAAAAAACACAGTGAGGGAGAGAGATAGAGAGTGACCAAGAGAGCAAAAAATCCACCCACAAGTGTGAAAAAATAGTGAAAAACGTCTGTGATACAGTATTTTTAACATAAATTAAATTTAAGATAGATCGAAGTTAATGTTGGTCAAGATATTTAGGAAACCTTATTGTTTACTTTCCGATTGTCTCCAAACTCAGTTTTTTAACATGTTTATTGCAAGTAATTTGAGACGTGTTTCACCATTTTCGAAAAATGCACTCCTTCGTGACTTGAAACATATTCACGCTTTCGCGAAATCCACCACGCTCGGTTGGAAAACGGGCTCAAAGTCAAAAGTTTAAATGTAAATTATGAACAAAGGAATTCGTGTTTGCACGAACTTATTTTCAATTACCTATGTACAATATGTGACAGTCATGAAAATTGTTTCTTATAATAAGATAAGAAACATTGAATTGTAAATAAATATAAATTATAGATAACTAGATCAGCTGAATTCGGCTAAATATTTACGTACTGCAAAATGAGGCAATATGCAGCCGCAAGCTTAAAAGCAGACAATTTAGATTTCGTGACAGCGCAAAACAAACATTCTACGATTTATTTTTATGTCTGCACAGATATGTTTATATATATATTTTTTTTACTATCCACCTTAGTAAGAGATAAATCCAATAAAAATAAGCATTTATAATCACATTTCTGCTGTCAGCGTCGAAGATCGATTGCTCGCAATGGTTGGAATGTGCTGCCGTTTAAATGTACTCAAGAACGGCATGGAGAGTGTGAGAGGGAGTGAGAGAAAGAGATTGAGAGAGAGAGAGAGAGAAAGAGATATAGAAAGAGATGCATGCATATATTTATAGAGATACAGAGCGAGAGCGAGAGAGAGAGAGAGAGAGAGAGAGAGCCGCAAGCAGGCTAATTAATTTACACATTTTTGAGATAGTTCGCCAACATTCCGACGAGTTAACATTTAATAAATTATATCATATTTTATTACGGAAATGCAACTGAGAACATGCAACAATGCGGCTCGCTTCACACCTCTCACTCTCTCCCTTTCTCTTCCTCTCTCTCTCTCTCTCTCTCTCTCTGTCTCTCACTCTGTCCTGTTTCCTGATTTGTCAATAATGTAATGCATTTGCACTTGGCTTCGTTGCAGCGCGTCTGGTGGGCTCCCAACAGCATCATCACAATGAATCATCCTGCTCCTCTGGTCCAGACTCGCCGCGGCATCCGCACGCGCATCCGCATTCGCTGCACGGAACGGGGGCAGGCTCCTCGGCGGGCGTCGGCCCAGCCACGGGCGCCATGTCCAAGGAGCTGCCACTGGACACCAGCAGCAGCAGCGGCGGCGTCGCCGGCGGCGGCAGCCAAGGACGCGCTCAGTATCTGTCGGCCACCTGCGTTGTTTTCACCAACTACTCGGGCGATACGGCCAGCGTTGTGGACGAGCATTTCTCTCGGGCGCTCAACTACAGCAATAAGGAGGCAAAAGGTAGGTAATCCTTAGCCATATATTGCCCACAGCAAATCTGCCATGTCATCCGCGTGACTATGCTTCAGCCTCTCGGCCCGCCCCTCGGCCCACACTCAACATTTACATGTTGATCAAAAGACCCGCGCATGTCATGTACTTGTCCCAGCTGTCAGTTTGCGTGTTGGCGTTCACAATTACCCAGAATCACAGCCAGAACCAGGGCCACAAACAGAACCGGAGCCGAAGAATAGGGCACAAAATCTCATAATTAGCCAAGAATCAGAGCGAGTTATTAAAATGTCGCGTGCAATTGGTAATGAAAGTGGAAATGGCAACGAGGAAGGGGTAGAGTAAGGGGCACGTTCTCTCATACACAGAGCTGTATAAGAAATTAATAAGAGTGGGAAACCTATTTCGTAACCGCTCTCTTAGATATTTGACTAAATTTGCAATCTTAGTTTTAATAGATTCTGTTTTAACGATCAGATATTATTCGAGACATTCTCTCAGTTATTCCTTAAGGGAAACTTTTCAAATGACTCTCGCAAATGTTGATTATAATAAGAGCCGCCTTTAAGCAGACAATACAGTCTTGGGCGCTTGCAGTACGTATTCCTCCCGAAGACCCCGATGCCGTCAGTTTTTCCCCGTTGTCCAACGTTGGATGCCATTGCGTCGCACAATAAACCAAATAAATCAAGTTGCCACTTGCCACTCGGTTGTTCTTTCGATTTCAAAATTAATTACCTCCTTTAATGAAGATAAACGTTTTGTTCATGTTTGTTCATGCCTGTCGCTCTGCTCGCCCCCTGCTCCGCCTTCCCTCCACCCTAACCCCTAACACAATGTCTGTGCGCACACATCTCTTGCATCTTTTGGCTACTGTCGCACAAGTACTTTTTCATATTCGTTTTATTTTTCAGAGTGTATAAAATTCATTGTCTTTGCATCTTCCAAGATCACAGAACAATCTGCCAAGCTATAGCAGCTAGTTAGATGGAATGAAAATTAAATTCCTATTTATTTCAAACCATAAACTGAACCTTAAACTAAACCAGCTAATCCCCACCAAAAACAGTTCGGCTCAACAGGCTAAAGATAAAAGACATTGGCGGCAGACCCAAACCCATGGAAACACTTCCTCTCAGTAAAACAGGAAGGTATATATTAAAAATTAAATTGTTTCTATACAAATTAAAGAAATAAATCTAAGAACAGATTGTTTTTGAATTTTCAGTCCTGGTTTCAATTAGACCAATTGCTAAATCAATCAATTATCACTTTTGGGAGTCGACGCACACATTTGCATGCTAAGCAGGTAACGCCGCCAGGTACGCTAATGTCCCGTACGTGTTCTTCAGCTGAGCTGCGCTCAGCTTCTACGGCCACAAATTCGGCCAATCAACGAGCACTCGAACATTTTGTGGCTTATTTCTTTTTACCGCTAATCGGGAGAGACAGAGTCGCGTTTAATGCTCAGCTGGCTTTTATTGAGCTTCTGTGGCTGCCATTGAGCGGGGAGTGGGCAGGGGAGGGGAGTCGGAAGGGCGTTTCGGGGTGGTTGTTGTCTACCGTGTCTATGGCTCACGGGGCTTCCGCTTTGATTGTGCCATTTCGTCAAATTTCATTCGACACGCATTAATTGCAAATTCACGTTTATATTGGCCGTATAAATCCAATCAGATGCAAGCGGGTTTCCAATTGGAACACAGATTGTTTGTGCCCTCCCTTTCTAAAGCTTGTATAATCATGAGCGAGATTGGTTATAAGCAATTTATTATTAATTTACAATATTCTGATGGAATAGTGGTATAGAATGGAGAACCTCTCTTCTATTAGATAAATATTTTAGATATTTTCTGTCAAGCTCGTAAATAATATACAGACTTAAGCTGTAGCTTCTAGAGCTTAGCAGAGTTTCATTATGTTGCTCTATATCTAGATGAAGAATTTTTCAAAAACACATTTGTTTAAAAACTGATATTTGCTATATACATATATTGTCGAATGGGGCAGCTAAATGTTGTATTTGGTTGATGATATAGTCCTCCGATCCGGTTTCGACATATACATACATACAAAAGACAGACAGATATATATTAGGCTGTTATATTGTATATTGATTATTATATATATTAACGAGGCTGTTGATGCCCATCTATGCCATAAATTCTCTGCCTAATTGCGAAGAAACTTTCTAAATGCATTTTCAAATAAAATGTGAACGTCTTCGGTTAAAAGTAAAACAAAGTAAATTATAAAATGCCTTAATTAAATTACAATTTTCTTTTATTGTGTATACAAAATTGTCTTTGTTGTTAATATGCGGCTTTAATTACAAACGTTTTTTGTTGTTGTTCAAGTCGCGAAACTTGCGCAATTCAAGCGAAATGAAAACAACAACAAAAATAAAAATAAATAAAAATAAATACTTTGTTCACGTTTTGATTTATTTTTGTTTTGCTTTATTGTGACGCTACTTAATGGTATTTAAAGTTCATTTTGGCCATTTGTCTATTTGAGTGGTTAACACACACGCACACAAACACACACACGTGCACACAGACACCAACACAGTCACACACACATTTTAGCATTTGTGTACGTACTTTAAAAACTATTCAGTATTTATATAGATTTTTCTCTTTATCTCGATGTGCAGTTACACACACATACACACGCACATACATATCGTATATATGAATAGATATGTATATATATATATATATATGTGCATGAGGTGTGTGTGTGTGTATATATATCTAGTTGGAATGTGCTATAAAATGTCGCCGGAATGCGATGTGGTCGATGTTGTTGTTGTTGTTGCAGTTGCTGCTGCTGCTGTTGCTGTTTGTTATTTCTGTTGTTGTTGTTGTTGTTGCTGTTGCTATTGTTGTTGTTGTTGTTGTTGGTGTTGTGCGGTTCGTCTGGCGGTGCCAATGCCGAATGCCGCATAGATTCCTCATTACGGTTTTAAAATGCATTTCAATTAACTGCTCACTCGAGATACACTCACAACGCATTGCATGGCACACACACACACACACACACACACACACACACACATTGACACACACAGGCTGAGTGGCACGCTTGCACTTTCAGTTGTTGTGGCTTCTGTTCTGGCTCTTAAAATATCGTCGACATCGCCCTAAAGATGTGGCTGGCCCGAGACGACGTCCTCAGCTGCAGCCTTCAGTTGTGCCTCGTTGCCTGTTTTCGGTTTTGTGGCACTTTCATATGATATTCGAATGCTACGAGTATTTAATTAGATGCTCGAAGAATTCGATTTAAAATTCCTTGGCACCCGCCGCTGGCGCAGATGCAAGACCCGCGCACCCGCCCGAACCCTAAACAGCACTAAATTCAACTTGCCTGCCGTTCGCTCCCATTTGGGTAACGCGCTATCCTATTGCAGATGTGGATGGGTTTGTGGTCTAAAAGGACACTGGCAGTGACAGTGGACATGGTCAGTGTGTGGCCAGGGTCGTGTGATCGGCGCTTATCAGCATCGCAGTCAATTCAGGTGCAACTTCATTAGGCCGGCCGGCAAGATCAGGTGAAAGGTGAGCGGCCATCAGGTAGCAGCAGCAGCAATTGTAGCCTGTGCGGCTTTCGCTTTGAATTCCGAGTGCCAGCATGAAAGTGAAAACCGTGTAGGCGACGCGGGAGGGCAGAGAATCGTCGCCAAATCTTTGCCAGCGCTGGCCGCAACTGCAACTGGTGCTTGATGCTTGGTGCTTGTTTGCACATTAATGGGAATTCCTGGCCGCCAGTTGAGCGAGTGAGTGAATGACTATGACGCTGAAGATGGCGACGATGATGATGACGACTTTTTGCCAGGCTTCGCAGCTGAATGGGGCACGCGGCATCGCTAACCAACCAACCAAGTCACAAGCCAGTCAGCCACATCATCAGCATTCAAGGCACACTCACAACGTGCCGGGCTACTCGCAACTCGCGACTCGCGACTCGCGACTTGCAACTTGCGTTGGCACATCCTCGAAGCTGCAGCTACCCTCAGTAACTGTCTCCTCCGCCTTCTCGTCCCTATCGCATGGACTCTATTCCCAATGCCACACCCCACCCGCCCAGAAGCCCAACAGCCCGGATGGGCTGCAGTTGTTGTATATTTTTCTCTTGAATTGAGTTTGGAATGTTGTCAACGCAAATGCGCCTATGTCCCAGTGCCAGCAGTGCCAGTGCCAGTCCCCAGTCCCCAGTTGCAGTCCTTGGCACATGTGCATGCCACAGACGCCAGCGAGGCAGCCAACCAAAAGTTGTTGCTATTTTCGGCAACAATTTTCAAGCGGCAGAGCTCCATTACACTCGCTCCAAGTGCTGGTGCCGCCGCTGCCAGTTTGCCACGTAATGGAGATGTCTGCGTGTTCGTCTTTGCGATTTCATAAACGCGTAGATTTACAACCATTTAATACAAGTGATGATCCCGAACACGGCAGCGACAACCACAACGACAACGACAACAAACATTCCGCTCAGTTATTTGCAACAAGCCATGGCGCCGACGACAACTAAGTACGTGGTCATGGCTGTTCCCTCAGCTCCCATTTGTGTGTAGCCGGCAGCAGATGCTCAGTTTATCATTATGCACTTGAATTGCAATTGCCAATGCTATTGGCACTCCCCAATCGGGCGGGGAATTCAAATGCAAGACGATTGCAGCTAACAGTGGCTGGCCATGTGGATTAACGATATTCTTTGGTTTCGACTCTTTCAGATAGCAGCAGCCCCATGTCGAGTCGCAATTTCCCACCATCGTTCTGGAACAGCAATTACGTGCATCCCATACCCGCCCCCACACATCCACAGGTAAGTGTCGGCAGCAAAACAATGCCACGGCCACGAAAACGATTAACTGCAATACGTGCCGCAATTACGAGTCCACCTCGATCAGGTCCAGGTCCAGGTTCCGATGCACACGCACACACGCATTTTAAATAAGTTGTAATTCGGGCTTTGCTGACCGTCAATATCTCTCTCTGCAATCTCTGTCCATATCCAGGTTAGCGACTTGTACGGCACCGCGACAGACACTGGCTACGCCGCAGATCCCTGGGTGCCGCATGCGGCAGCCGCGCACTATGGTTCCTACGCGCATGCGGCGCATGCGCATGCAGCCCACGCGCATGCCTACCACCACAACATGGCCCAGTACGGCAGCCTGCTGCGCCTGCCCCAGCAGTACAGCCACGGCACAAGGTAAGCAAATCTCCAAGCACCCCAAATAGACGAAATAAAAATTGTATTCAATTGTTTGGTACAATTTTTATTACTCTATTTTCGCAATTATGCTAAATAACGCCTTTTAATACTGACAGCCCACAAATATGTTGCTTGTTCCTATACAATTAATTAATTAAATGAAAACGAATCGTTTTGTGGTCAAACACTCTTGTTAACCAATCGATTTTTAATTTGTTCGAATGCCAATTGATATTAGGAATCCATCTGAACTCAAAAAGGTATAACATTCCAAAATCAGACAATATTTACCCGAGATACTGAAAAAAAAATTATCCAAAAAATTTGGATTATCGAAACGAACTCGATTTTGGCTTTTTGGTCGATTTGGGTCAGAATTTCGATTTTTTGTTTTTGATGCCAATCGGTAGTACAGATCCTTACAAGTCCAAAATGGTATAAAATTACAAAATCGGACGATATTTACCCGAGATATTCAAAAAATTAATCAAAACAATGTTGATTATAGAAATGAACCCAAGTTTAAGAGTAAAATCATGCGAATCTTTGTTTTTTTTTTGTCGATTTGGATGAAGATTTAGATTATATTAATATTATTTTTTATATAAGAAATATATGTCAATTGAATTGAGACTTAAAGCATGTACAAAAATGCTTTAAAAATAAAAATAAAAAAAACCTTTTTCTTTGGGTACATTGCAGACTACACCACGACCAGCAGACGGCACATGCTTTGGAGAGTGCGGCAGCCTACTCGAGCTACCCAACAATGGCAGGTGCGTACTCGACTCCGGCTTTAAGGACTTGTGACATTTGTCCATTTGTGTGCTATTGTCATGGCGATGGTGCGGCTCAAAGCGCTTGACCTGTGCCGAGATGTGTTTTTTAATGAAATGTGTGTTTGTTTGTTTTTTTTTTTTTTTTTCTAAAACTTGTTTA